GGACGCGTTTATTACTTTCGCATGCTCAGCCACGCGCCGACGACCAGGGCGAGCACCACCGCTGCGCCAATGGACGTCAGCTTCCAGTTGGCCTTGATCCACCCGATGATGCCGGACGACGACGATTCCTCGTCGGCGTCGCCCGTCGCTGTTTTGGCGATCTGTTGCTGTGGATCGACGGAAAGATCGACGCGCGATCCGGCATCGAGGTCGACGCTGGCCTGCACCTGGCCCTCCGACGAGAAGATCGTGAGGTAGCGCATCCACTTGGCCGAGCGCCTGAAGGCCTTGCGCACGGCGGCCTTGTCGGTGTCCTTCTTGGATCGCTCGTCGGGCGGCGATGCGGGGTGGCCGCGCACGATCGAGCGAGGTTTGGACACGTGGTAGACGTCGAGGAAGTTGGCGGCCTGTCCCGTGGCCTCGGCCGGCCGCGCGTTGGCCAGCACGAGCACGGTGCCGGGCGGCGCGTTGCTGCGCAGCGCCTCGAAGATCCTGAGCGCCCGCGCCGATCGCTTGGCGCGGATCCCGCGTTCCGACTTGATGCCGTGTTTCTTCTTGTTCATTTTACCCGAATGCGTCGGAAAAAGGTCGTGTGTGCGATGGCGCGCATTCGAACCATTCGCATACACACATGAAGCAAGGCCGCACGAGGACGAGACGGAAGCGACGCGACGACAGCGGATACTGGGCCAGCGGATTGGCGAGCCCCGATCCGACCAAGGTGCCGCTGATGCCCGATGACGACGATCACGATGCGTGGGTGATCCAGGACATAGAACCCGAGCACCGACGCGTGGCGATGGAAGAGCTGGTGTGGTGGTTGTTGGTCGTTCAATAAAAATGATGCCAAGGCTGATTTACAACGATGGTTGCTCGTTTACGCCATCCCGGCAATCGCACGCCGTTGTTTCCGGCCGGGATGATCCTTATTTGATTGAGGCCCTCGTTGATGCGGACCCGCTTGGTTGGACCCCCGTACGATCGGTCCCTCTTCAGCCCCCCGCGTTTTCGATTCGGTTGCGTCGTCGTGGTCGGTGCTGCCGTCGGCGCGGGCTGTCTGTACATGGGCGTGAACGTGGGACGCGGCACCGCCCACGCCCGACCGCCGAACGGCGCGACGCCCGCAAAGTGAGAGGCGAATTCGGCGTTGGGCGCGTTCATCGTGTTGGAGTAAAACGCAACCCCGTTCCTCGATCGGGATGGAAGGGCGAAAAAAGATACCCCCGCGTCTTCACGTCGCATCGATTTATACATCGCCCGCAACCACACCATCACCAATAATGGAACAGCAGAACATCACCGATGTCGAGCGCGCCTACGGATGTGGCAGCTGTGGCGGCGGCTTCGTCTCGCTTGTGGCCCCCGTCGTCCCGCTCGAATCCCAGCCCACGGGACCCATCGACGTCAACCAGGCTTTCTCGTCGGTGTGGCTCGGCTCCGCCCAGAACATCCCCGGTGACGGCACCTACGCGCCCATCCTGGCCTGGTCCTCGACCGGCAGCCCCGAACCTCGCCGCCGGCCCCGTCGTTGTGACCACCGGCAAGTACATGGTGGCCTTTGCCTCGCAGTACGAAGTCGGCGCCGCCGTCACCTTTGCCGCGTCGGGCGCCAACAACGCCCGCCAGCGCTCCATCCAGATCATTCTCAAGCGCGGCACCAACACCTACGTCATCGCGCAGGACACCAAGCAGCCGTCGGCCAACTCGGCGATCCCCACGGTCCTCTACGCGCAGACCCTCGGCAACTTCATCGCCGGTGACGAGATCTGGGTGCAGGCCTCGCAGACCAGCACCGTCGCCCTCCCGCTGGCCGTCGGCGTGGCCACCAAGTTCCACGTTCAGCCCCGTAACGGAGCCTCCACTGCCTAAAAAATAAACGTTGCGCTGGCAAAGTCTTTTTTGTGTGCATGGGGCGGAAACATGTCGTCCACCGAGAACCACAGGTCGCTCATCATCTGGTTCGTCGTGCTCGTCGTGGTGGTGATTGTCGGGTTCGCGGTCATGGCCAAGACCGATGTCAAGGGCAGGCCGGATGCTGGCACAGGCAAGCCATCAGCGCCGGACCCCAAGAAGATGACGGAGAAGGCTGCGGCGAAGGGCTACAAGGTTCGATTCCTCGACGCCGCCGAGCTGAAGAAGGTCGAGCATCACGACGATTGCATCGTCATGTACTACGCGGACTGGTGTGGATACTGCAAGCAGGCTCTACCGGCCTTCCTCGAAGCGTCGCGTGTTCCGGGCGGCACGGTGATGTACGCCGGCAACCTTCGCAAGGGACACCCCGTCAGTAATTTCCCGACCGTGGTACGGCACTACACCGATGGCAGGGCCCGCGAGTTCCACAAGGGTCCACGCACGCCCTCCAGCTACGCTAGCTTCGCGACCACACACTAATGTTCCCGAGCGATATCCCAAAAAGAAGACAGTACCCCTCCAACGAGTGCCTCTGTCGCGAGGTCGTGCCGGGCACACACAATCCGAGCGGCTGCACCTATTTCTTGGCGTCATGGTCCGGACGAGGCATCGTACTTGAGAAGAGCAGCTGCGGCGATCGAGGGTCCGAATACCGCAAACATGTAAGCGTTATCGCGAAGCTCGGCGTGCACGGCCACAAGATCGACAAACAACAGAGAAGAAAGCGCAAGCTGCAGGATCGCATACCGGATGCAGCGCGCGCATATTGGCGCCGCCAGTGCTATTTGTGGACGATCCGTGTCCTATTGAAGCGTCTGCCCTCAGAGCTCATCGAAATGACCATGTCGTTCATTTAGGCATACAAAGATCACACACAAACATGGGCTTCACGTTGTAGCGCGTGGCCTTCACGGGCTCCTTGAGTTTGGCACTGTCTTCGACGCGGAGTGGCAACCACCATCCGAGCGCGTTGTTCTTCTTGTGCTCGGATCGCCAGTGTTCAAGATCGGCCAGAAGTGCAGGCGCCACTTCGATGCTCCGAAACTCGTCGTCATCGTTGAGACAGATTGCCCGCAGGACATTGATGCTGTCGCCCTGCTGACTCCAGAACAGGGCGTACGAATCGTCGCACGAGCACTTCCGCGAACACTTGGCACAGGTGCGCTTCACGAGCGGCGTGTGTATGAACTCGTCCATGGCACTAAAACAATGGGCAACCGGTGCCCTTTTTTGGTTAGGGTTTTATGGTGGTCGCAGACGACACCAACACTGATGCAGAACCAGCCACTCAGAATCAAGCTCCTGGTAGAAGGTGCCACCGCCCCTAGGCGGGCCCACTCCACTGCACAAGGTTGGCAGTTGGTGGATCTCAGGATCGCCATTGCTGTGCTGATTGGCACCTATGGGAGGATTGCACCGTGATTGGGTCTTGGTTGGAAGAAGGGCATTGACATTGGCGCCGGCGTCATCAATGGTGGTTATCATGGTGGTGTGAAAGCACTCATTTTCAACCACAACGATGAGGACTTTGTCATTGCCTTGGGCGATTGTGTCGCTCAGCTCATCCTGGAGTGCATCATGACACCCAAGGTTGAGATCATGAGCAATCTTGACACCACCAATCACAGCAAGAACAGATTCAGTTCCACAGGAGTCAGCAAGAGACTCCAGGTCGAAGCATAAATAAACAGACAACATTTGTCCCTTTGAGCAATGGCAAGCCACAGGGTGGAGAGCGCAATACAATCCTGCAGGATCATGCCCAACAGAATCAGGGCCAATCAGGTTCTAGCACAAGCACTCATCATGGCGGCCACTCACAGTGTCCACTGGATCCTTAGCCAACAGATGATCCAGCAGATCAACTTTGATCTC